GTCAATGGACAGCACACAGAGGATCAGATCACCTGCGGTAATTGCAAATTAATGCTCTACTGCTAATGCATTAACTACACACTATTGATCTACAATTGAATCATACAGGCTGCTGTGAAGTGATTTTGTGTGTGTGCTTTTATGGCATTTTCCATAATGCATTTTCTCTTTCAACTGGAGTTTTCTATAATTGTCTCCATTTTTAATTTCCTACAGTGAGATGACTTCTAAAAAAGCATGTCTCTGCCTCAAAAGCCTTAAAAAAACTCACCAAAGGGAAAGATGGGGCTTGGCTGAACACATACGTGAGAGAAAAGAGATATGTAAAAACAGATGAAAGTCTTATTTGTCAAAGCAAAGGTTTAAGAAAAAGAGCTCACTTTAAAAGGGAAAAAAGCATACATTGCACTGGAATGCTACATTTGTTAAAAATAAATAAATCTAAGGATTAATTTGCCTTTTATCAAAGGAATAACATGCACTTGGAGTGATGTATATGCTATAAATTATATGTGTCTAACGCTCTTGTGCAGCAAAGCAAGAAAGAATTTTAGTATGTTTCAAAGCTCTTTAAGAATAACTGTCCCCAGAAAACCCACAATATTCCTCTAATTGGGAAAAAGTAAGAATTAAAAATATTTAGAAAAGTCAAATGTTAGGTTTTGTGTCATAATCCACCGATGTCATCATAGCAAATTCTTGTTTCCTAAAATATTCAGACTGGTTGTCACATATTTTTAAATTCACATTGTTTTTATTTGTTCAGATACTGATCTCCTAGTTATGCAAGCTAGGAAAAAACCTTAAGTTATATTTTAGAAAGAAAATTCCCAAAAGAAAGCCACAGATAAATTATTGGGGGCAAAACAGGTCCCATAGAAGCCCCAAGTCAATGCAGGGAGATTGTTTTTTTCTACAAGACAAGTCATTATGAATTGTACTGTTTTATATTCCCCTAGGTATTTTTCACTGTGAAGTTTAAATTTTCACTAAAAATATTCCTACTGAAGTCCAAGTGTAGAACTGTTTCAGCCTCATATTAAACTTTTTTTAAAGAAAAAACCCCCCTGAGTATATGAATTGGTATTTGTGCATTTTAAGCTTAGAAGACTGACTTTGGGTGAGTGAGTGGGTGAGTTCCATTAATCAAACTTCCCACTCATCCCACCAGATGGAACAATAACATGCCTCGAAATCTCTCCTGTATAAACAACCAGAAGGTATTGATAGAATATATGTGGGAAAGAAGTATTTGCCACTATCTGAGTTAAGGAAAAGATCCTGAAAGGATCTGCATTCTTCTGAAGCTTCTGATATAGAAATTTGTTTGATAAGGAACTCAGACCCAAATCCATATAAAATTATGTAATTTATTCCATTGAGATCAATGGACGAATTAAGTACCTGGTTAATTCTTTGTACTTGAGCATGATGCCAGATGGAGTGCATAACTATAGCTGACTTGACCCCATTTTTGAGTTCGTATCTATCAGTAAACTCTGTGGCTCAAATGGCATTGAAATAAAGAGGGAGAGAAGCATCAATCCATTTCAGTGGGACATGCATGGAGAAGCATCACATAGGCTGAATATGCTGGCTTTATTATTATAGAAATCTAGGTCTGGCAAAAATCATCCTGTTGAATGCTTTCCCCCCTCCCCTCCCCTCCCTTTTTTTAATCAAAAAAGGGATCCAATCATTTGGCCCTGACCTAGCAATTCACAGATCTGTGGATGCTTGTTCCAGTTTCCCAGTGGTGGCAAGAATGCCTAAACAGTGTGCAGAATTCTTTTGCTTTCCATTCTGTCTTCATGTTTAAAAATGCATTATCAGAAACAAGCTCCCCACCCCTGCAGAAAAAGGGAATAACAATGAACCAATTCACCTATCCAATTATTCTGCCTAACTACACATTAATAAAATCATCAAGACATCAATTTTTAAAGTCAAATCAAAGTCCTTAAGCAAGTTGGAAGGAGCATTTCAATATATTTCAGCTAATATAACATTTTAATGGAAATCTTCAGAGGCTCTGTGACAAATCGTAGGAAGTTATATACTTCTTTGGTTGAGGTTCAGTTCTAATTAGCAGTCATAAATGAAATCAATGGAACATTCCCTTGTTGATCATACATTTTTTGTAGACAGAAATTCAGGAAGGCAAAATGGGGGTGTGGAGGGATATTGCAGCTAACATTTGTCCCTGATTTGGAGACGTGGGCTGGGTTCACATGGCAAGACAAGCAACCCTGCATGGTTTCAATGGTGTGCATTAGTTTGCCTGGATGGGTCAGTCAGACGATCAAGTGGCTTCTAGACCAGCAAAGTTCCCACCCTCCTCACATAATCCCCTGCTGTTAGCACACGCTGCATCAGCTTCAACACGTGAAATTCAGTCCTATACTTGATGGCTCAAGCAGTTCTTACAGCTGCCAGTCTTTCCAGAGGAATCTGTGGAAGCTTTATACCAGGACCATGGAATCCATGATCCTTGGTTCAGGCAAAGGGAGAAACCATGGTGAAGCACAGAAAGAACAGAAATGTTGTTTTTCACTGTGGTGTTGAAAAAATAAATGTCAAAATACCACAACACGGCATGTTGAAATATCCAAATTGACTTGGTGATTCATGTGAACACACCCTCAGGCATTTGCCATTTCTTTTTAGACAGATGAGATGTTGCAGTACTATATATTTTTTATAAAATTATACTAATACTATATAGAAGCTTTTCCCAGTTCTTGGCTCTGCACAGCCCACATGTGTGATGCACAGAGACCAGGAAAAAGAGCTCAAAAGCCACCTGGTCGATCCTTCTGGTGATGGAGGAAATGCAACTCTACAGCATTCTTGGTAGTTGGCCATTTAGCTTTCTTAAAATTTCTGATAAAGGAGTCTGCTGTCTTCTAAGGCAGCTGAACTGTCAGACATCAGTTCATTCATACCATCAGGAAATCTTACTAATGTGTAGTCAAAATCCTTTTTATTGTAGTTTGAACCTATCAGATAGGGTTCTATTCTCTGGATTGGCATTTCATAAATTTGCTTCGTCAACCTTTAAATAGTTAAGATGGCCATCATGTTACTTCTTAGAGCTTTTCTACATAGGGTATTGCTTGTGCACTCATTATTCACAGTAAGTTAGGTCTTTGCTCAACAGCCCATGGGTCATATTCCAGATGGTTGTGCTTGCCACAGATTGCTCTCCTCATCCTTCCTTCTTCGTTCTCCAGCCGGCTCAAGCATGTATCTTGATATCCTTCATGGCAGAAACTTTCTTATCTCCTGCTCCTCACTCTGGTTGTCACCCCTTCAGGAATCCTATTTGTTGGTTAGTTCTGGAGCCTCAGAAAAGGGAAATCGAGGCAGTATTTATTTATTCATATGAGTAGCTCCTGGAAATCGTACAACTTTGCTCCTAAATGTGTTGTTATTGTTGGTTGTTGTTGCTGATGATTTTTGCTAGTGCACAAGTGTGCTGTCATGGCTATCTGAGATGCACAGTGTTGCCTGGTTAATTTCCTTGTCTGTTTCAGTTGTCAAAAGAAGAAGCAAAATAAAGTAGGAAACAGACTGACAAGGTGAGACAACATATGGGGTGGATTGTGCACAGCTGCCAGGGTCCAATTGCCAAGTTGTCAACTGAAAATCTCTGGTACAGGAAAAAAGCAAGAAAAGAAGGTGCACCAAAAATACAGGGGTGGGGGTGAGCAACGATATTCCCCGCTTGGCAACGTGATCCTCTGGCTTTTTAAATTTTGAAAAGTGTTAGGTGGGTAGATGCGAAAGAATTCTCATACTGTGTTAGATGCAAAACTGATGGAAATTTTGCAGAGACTTCTTAGGGTGTGCAGGAACTCAATTTCAGGCATTCATTAAGAATTAACTTATATAATTAAATTTCAGTGCAAAGCTACCACATGTCTGCTCAGAAGTAAGTCACATCTCTTATTAAACTGCTGGTGAATTTGAATTAAAACTTGAACTTCCAAGATTGGTGGCATTTACGGACTGAGTGTAGTCAGGACTACAACTGTGGAATACAAACATCACCATTCAAGAAGTATTTCCACTGTTCCAGAAGTGAAGGACTGAAGGGGTTTTGCCGCTCACCGTGAAGCATCCTTTGAACCTTGCTTCAGTCGTGCTACCTATCAAGCTTACATTGAGGAAAAATGTGCAATATATTTAAACAGATTGTTTAGGAAAGCTTAATTCCTTGCTCATTTAGGTGTGTTTGTTTCTGCTTGCCGATTTTGGTGCAGAGGTTTAAAAGATAATTTTTTAAATGTCATTTCATTAAGGCTGTTTTCCTAATATGTTTATAACTGTGTGTGGGCAATACAGCTGTGCAGTGACACGGATAAACGTTGCAATCAAAAGGAAATTTAAAATGAGAAAGAATCAATATCCCAGGAAATTCATCCATCCTTCCCCATCAAACAGATTTTTTGCTGCTCAGGAATTTATGGTGGTGATATGGGGACAGGGTTGCCAAAATTGTACCTGGTCCGGGGCAGTGAGATACCTTGAGAGAGCCCTCACAGTAAGCCTCTGAATACCAGTCATTGTGGAGAAAGCTGCTATTGCACATGCTAACTCGCCCATTACTACAAAACTTTCTCCTTTGACTGCCATGCCAATTCCACGCTCCATTCCATGATCATTCTCGACAGCTCAGCTTAAAACTTGTTCTACAGTCGTTTTGATGTTAAGCAACTTAGCAGAATGGCCTTCCCGAGAAATATGCTATACTAAGGGTGCTGCCAGATCGAACTAGAACGGGTGCTAAAGGTTGCCTCTCCATACCCAGAAGATTCACTTTGTATTGTTTCCTCATCTGCACACAATTCTCACAATAAGTATGTCCCAGAAGAGAAGAGAGCAGGATATACACAAAGGCACACGCTTGGCATATTCCTATTCCTTCTTTAAAGCACATCTTTTTTTCAATTGCAAAATATATTTCCAACAGCATTTTAAAAGGAGAAACGTAATACCTGTAAAACAGAAGCACCACTATGAAGAAACTGCAAGCCACTTTCGGCTGAGTCAATGCCTCCCGTTGCTAGAATAGGAAATCCTGGAAGAGCACAGGCAATGGCTGAAACGGCTCGAAGGGCTATGGGTCTGATGGCATTTCCTGTGAAAACAAACGAGTACTTCAGTGGAGGTGGAGGAAGCTCCCGTAGGGACCGCTGCCTTCCTTCTCTCCTTCTCCTTCCCCCACTCCAGCCCCAGACCTCCTGTCTTGCTTCTTTTCTAGGCTCCTTCTTTATCTGCTCAGCCTCCTCTACCTGTCCTTCTGCTAGACACCCTTTCTCAGCGCAGCCTTCCCTGGCCTGATGCAAGGTAGCTAAATGCACAAAGAAAACCCAGCCTGATGCCAGGAGTTTTTGCAGCGAAGGCCAGGAATCTGTATTGTGGAAGAGGCAGCGGGAAATCTGCATGTGCCTCCTCACCACACACATTCTATATTTTCACTCTCACTCGCACACACTTAGCCTGCCGACCATGCTCACTATGGCTGACTGGCACTGCAACCTGTTGCAGCTGGGACTGCGACGTGTGCACCTGAACGTCCTCCATAGCTGATCTTATCCCAGTCTCTCTCGAGCCAAGAGGCAGAAGAGCCAAAGAACAAAAAGGATGGGGTCACGAGGGCTGCAAGGGAAAGCTGCAACAGATTCAAGTGGGCTTAGATTTCCATGGATCCAGCTCATGGGTTTGGCAATGTGCTGGCTTTTCCTCATCCACACCGATTCCACGGACTTGCAGAGTTTTGCTGTAACTTTTGTAATTTTTCACACATTTTTCACTCCCCCGCAAGCCACAAGAAATGCATACTTCCCCTCGTGGAGTAAAGCATAAAAATGCACATGGAGGGAATTTATACATTTTTATACACATTCATGCAAGAAACCCATTATTTCAATGAATGGATGATGGAATAAAAGGTACATGACAATCCTTGAAACAAGTGAATGGATTTAGCAAAGTCTAGAGGTGACTATATAGTAGCATGGCGATGTGTCAGCGTCAGCTATGGGAATTTCTCTGACACCTCCATCCCAGAGTTCTCCTACACTGAAACCTAAACACAGGCTGACTCAACATACATGACAACACCAGCTACAGCAGAAATCAAATTGCTTTGGCTATTAATTCTTCCCACTAACCTCACACATTGCTGGCATCATTCAGGGAAAATGTATTTTCTTTTAATCTGCACTACCTTGGATATTTCCTTAACTTTCTCTAACTCTACCCTTCCTCCAAAGGGCTCAGATGGCATACATGGTTTTCCCCTTGCCTATTTTATTCTCACGACAACCTTCAGAGGGTTGAAAAAGGATTCATGGAAAGAAAGGGGTCCAATGCAAATGTGACACTATAGTTTGTATGTAGAAGGCAACCAGCACAAATCTTGGATTTGCATAGCTCCCTCTCTGCTTGCTCTTCTGTTTTAAAATATGTCTGAACTCAGTGGATTTCTAGTTAGTTTAAACCAGCTTCATCCAAACTGGTGGCGTTCAATTGTGTTGGATCACAAATCGCAGCATTCCTGACTGGCAAAGGCTGAAACATTGGCATGGCAGCAGTTTGGGGAAGGGTTTGGTTAGTTTAACTCTGGTTAGTGGGCAGGCTAGGATCATACACCAAGGTTTGATTCTGGCTTGTTTGAACTAAACCATGGAGTTAACTAACTAGAAATCAAATGCCTTCAGACAGAAGGAGAGCCAGTGTGGTGTAGTAGTTAAGAGCGTGGGACTGGGACTCAGACGATCTGGGTTCGAGTCCCCGCTCAGCCATGGAGCCAACTGGTTGACCTTGGGCCAGTCACAGACTCTCAGCCCAACCTCACAGGGTTGTTGTTGTGGGGATAAGATGGAGGAGGAGATGTAAGCTGCCTTGAGCCCTTTGTAGAAAAAGGCAGGATATAAATCCAAAAATAAATAAATAAATAAATAGGAGGAATTTTGGTTAATTTAAAAGCAAAACTGAAAGCTTCCTACTTTATCCTTGTGGCTGCATCAGATAAAATGTGTGTCGTTGGGGGTGAAGTGAAGAGTACATTTCAACTGCCAGCTCATGCCCCCAACACCCAAAAAGACCCAGTGATTGGCACAAAATCATGCGGGAAGGTTCACGGCTGCTTGGAGATTTGAAACTGGGATTCCTCAAACCTGGTCTGGTAATGTCCACATCTCACTGGATTTTATCTTGCTATAGCTATACTCCTGTGTATAACTATTATCCACAAACAACTGCAGCACTAAGATGCAAAGGTAATTGCCATGATAAAGCAAAGGTCAAATACACGAAGTTGTTAGACCAAGCTCTCCAGAAACCTGAAAATGGTAAGAAGTGAAGGCAGTCTGCAGCCAGCAAACTGAACAGACCGTCTCTACAATCCAAGAGATAAATCGCTTCGTATACCACGGTGGCGATGTGCAGCACTGCCCTTATTTTGCATACACGCACGTTCTTGATCCCATCCATGAACCTCCAGATGGAGCACAGCAGATTCACACGCAACACCACTGCACAAAGCATGCTGCAGCCACTCCTCTTCAGGGCGTTACAGAAGCCTCTCCACGCCATTTTGGCATGGTGAGTAAGCAATATGGCCATGCGAAGTTCTCTCAAGTCGTTGCAGGATATTTAACAGCAAGGTTTTTTCCTTTCTTCAGCAAGAATCTGTTTGCAGATATGGTTTTTCAATAGAATGTTGTAAAATCTGTTGTGTTGTCATTTTTTGAAAGATGTTTCTTCTCTGCTTATTGCCTCCAGCAAAATGTCACCTCCCTCTAACAACCCACCATTTTTACAGTCAACATTGGTCTTTACAAACAGGATGTCTGACAAGCCTCTCCCATCAATGCTAGTTGCTACTGAATCAGCATCCAAATACTCAGACAAGCTGTCTCTATTGACATCTGCTCCTGATTCAGCATATGAATTATCCTCTAGGGTTATGCCACCTTCAGCTGCTTCAGCACAGATTTCTTCTCATTATTCACCTACTCTGGCATTTCTTCCATGCTCAACACTGAACTTGCACCCCGTCAACATCTGCTCCAGAACCAATATTCAAGCTGCCTGGTAGGTACGCCATGACAACACTTCTCTTCGAGGCACAGAGAACCACTGGTGACAAAGAGCACTGGGAATATTCGTTTTGCAGGGGTAGGATGGTGCTGAGAAATTGTGTCTGACACTCAGAACAGCTACTGGGATGAGGTGGGAGATGAAGCGTAATTACAGGGTGGGAAATTATTGTCACTACAGGGGGCTTTAGAAGCACGGGCCAGTGTTTGACCAAAGTGGAGGCTTTTTATAAAAAGACCTGAAACAGCATTAAGTAAAGATCATAGCTGAGCAGAAGGCCACAAAGGGAAAGAGGGTGGGCAAAGAGCTCCCATTGGGCTTTAATGGATGAGTTGATATTTGCAGTTAGCTTAAGAAAATCAATCTTAATGAGACAGGGAAGAATTCAAAGAGTTCTGCTAAAGTCACACTGGTCTTTCCCACCAGAAAGCCTCAGTTTTAGGAGAAGAGTCCAGTAATGGAAAAAATGGCGAAAAGAAGAATTGTGGTAAGTTAGAGCAAGTTTAGTTTTACTTCTTCAGATATAGTATGACAATATTTAAACGGAACCTGTAAGAAAATGCAGATTAATCACTCTGCAAGTGAGAGTTTACCTAGTGTTAGGAGAGCTACAGTTCTCCCTGTTCAAGCATCACTGTGTGAAAAAAGCAGCACAAGTACAAGGGACGGTGCCTGAGGTCTCCCCCGCAACCCCCACAAGGTTGGGTGGCACCTTCTGGCTCCTCCTATGTTTAAGCATAGCTAGGAAGCATGTTATATATTTCTGCACAAATTAAACCCCTAATTTCCTGGAATTTCCAACTGCACAGGGGCCTTCCACAGACAGAAAAGGTTTCCTGCGGTAGAATTAAACCCTAAACTAAAAGAGGGATGCACAGAAATGCACAGCTCCACACACGCCAGTATTCACATTACTTTTCATGTATTGCCTGAACAGGATGACACGGTTCACATAATCAAAACGAGCCATGGCAGCTTGCTGCAATCTGTGGCCCAGGCTGTTTGCATAATCACCACCTGGCTGCCACTTATTGGGCCGTCTGAATGAACGCGGCATGGCTTGTGGAGGGGTTAAACAACCCTTAGATAACCCACGAGTTGTTGTAGGGTTATTTAATCCTACAAATCTTGTTGCCAGGGTTGGATGACACAAGCTGTGGCTCACAACAAGCCACCATGACTAGTTGAAATCGTAGCTGTTTGGTTTGATTGTGTGAAACGGTCTGCTCAGCCACTAGAACAGAGTGTTGGAATGGGGTGTGGTCACGGGATTTAAACTAAGCCTCAATGTCACATTTGGTCAGGAATGAGTCCCTTAAATGGCTGATTGGTTTAGAAGGTAATAGGAAGGGCTTAGAATTATCTCAGACCATTTAGCAATCACACAGAAAGATTCCACTGCAGTCAACACTAATTAGGCCAAGTTCAACTCAATTTCAATCAAATGTGTTGATTCTTCACAGGAGAAAGCATCCAAAAGGCCACAAACTTATGCACATGAATTTAAATAATGTAATAATGTGTTTTTAATGTATGCTTTTATTGTTGGATGCTATGTTTTATTTTTATCCTGTTGTTTATCGTAAGACAGCTGTAGTCAGATGGTATAAAACAATAATAAATAAATAAGAGAGGACAAGCATCCAAATTTAAAGCAATAGCTTATAAAAGCCTCCTAGGTTACAGTGCTTAATATGTAGCAGAACAAGACCATATGGTAGTGGAGAGCTCGCAGTCCATTCCCCGTGAGTTTAATATGTTGGCAAACATGCTGGGAAGACGCTAACATCAATGTGATCACTGAATGATGGAAGGTACGGGCACCTTTGCATGCTTTTACATTTGGTAAGTTGCTGTGACTGGTTTTGCTTTCAATGCACATTTCCATTCTAATATGCCAATGGAAAAAAGATAGCAAAGTAACAAAGAAAGTAACAAAGAAAGCATGATGACATTGGAATATTTCTGTGGTGAATTTTCCAGCAATCCTCCATGTTCCCAGGCAGTGTGCACCCAACCATGGGGTAGGGC